TTTTCTTTTCTTCTCCCTCTTTATTTTTATTATTATTTGCTTACTTTACTTTCTTTAGCTTTCATTTCATTTGTTTCTTTATTTAAGCCGCTTAAATTAAGCGTTCTTTTTTTTAAATTCGAAGTTCTTTTTTTCTATATTTTTTTCTTTTTAGAATAATTTTTAATGTGTGCGTTAAATTAATTTATATGATCCTTAATGAATCATTTGTTTATATTATAAATAATTATTGGTTTTTAATTGTCGTTCTTAAATTCAGCACCAGATAATTTTTTTGCACGATTCATTGTAAAAAATAATGTTCAGAAAATACAATTTTTTAGTAATTAAGGGCGCTCTTCTGTTTGGTAAATGAGCTTTTATTTTAAAGTTCGTCAGGAGGCGCAATTTTAATTAATTTTCTTATCAACATAAAAGTGACGCCACGCAAATTAGTTTCATAATGTGAAAATAAATAAATTAATTTGGGGAATTTTGCGCCCTCCCAATTTTGGCGCCTCAGGCCGCGGCCCGGCTGGCCCTGGCCTTGGTACGGCCCTGTGTATATATACATATATATATATATATATATACATACATATATAAATATATATATATATAAATATATATATATATATATATATATATATATATATATATATATATATATATATATATATATATATATATATATATATATATATATATATATATATATATATATAAAATAAAAAACGAAAAAAGAAAAAACTTATATTATGGAATTTTAAGTTTCATGCCTAACAGCAATCATCAGCCATATATTGCAAAATTTAAAATAATCTGCGGTATCATAGGAGGAAATAAGAAATTTATTTTTGTATCTACACTTTTTCTTTGTACTCCGGATCGTTTAAACAAACAGTGGCTTGATAAACAATGTTGTTAGAAAGACAATGGTTGCTCATCGGACATTTAGATTTATCAATGCAGTTGCATGTCTTTTTATTAACTTTTTCTTCCTCATGTAATGTGTTTTTATTGTGAAAGTTGATAATGGATTATATATTTGGCATGAATGAATAACTTATTTTGATTGTATTTCTGTTAAATATTTTATGGAGTCTGCAGTTAACTGGAAAGTGGTGGTTGATGAGGATTAAAAAACATTAATTATTTTTGTTACAACATTTGCACTGAAAGGAGGATTATACCAAATTATTTTACGTTTATGATTGCTGTTTGAAGATTATATAATTGGATGGTATGCAAGTTCACAAGTGTATCCAGATTTTTTCAGGGCTTCTTGATAAGGAGGAATACTTTCTTTAAAAATTGATTCACTTGACGATGCTGCTGATAATCTTAACTCAATGGTTTTAGGAATACTTTTTATTACACTCAGTGGGTGATTAGAACTTGTATGTATGTAATTAAGTATATTATCTGGTTTGCAGTAGGGTTGAAAAGAACCATTGTTAATATTTAGCGTTAAATTGAGCACTCTACTCGAATTCATCCACAAGATGGAGAAATTAAACTTTCAATACTCAATTAAAAAAATCACAATACCATCAGAGAAATAATTTATTTTACAATTAATGGTAAAGACCGAAACGCTTATAAAAAGAATGAGGTGGAAAGCGCTTTTTTTCATTAACAAACAATCTGATGAAAAAAATTCTAAAGATTATGTAAACTACCGTATTAACTCTTCTATATGTTCTATATGTCATTTTTGTATTCATTCATTTTAATTCGAAACGTGCCATTGATTGAAGTTCTATTTTTGTTTCCATTAATTTTAATTTCAAGATATATACCAAAATTACTTTTATCATAAAATTGCGAGATTTGATGTTTATATTTTGATTTTAGTTCTACTTTTTCTAAAAAATAAAAACAGGCTATAAAAATTAGAAAAAATAAAAATAAGCAACAACAAACTAACAATTATTTAAATTCGTATTTGAAAAAATTAACAACATCAATTCTTCCTGAAAATAAGTGTATCAGCTCCGATTTGCTTGCTGATTTTACTCAAAAGACGGCGTGGAATATTTAATCGCACTTAGAAAAGTCTAGAAATAACTTAAAAACTAAGAAATAGTGGTATGTTATGATAGTACTAGAGTTTATATTATTCATAAGAGATATTATAAATCAGAAAAAGAAAATGGAAAATTAAAAAATAAAATTTAATATTAATGTTAAGTTATTTCTAGAATTTAAACTTACTAATGCTTCAAGTTTTAATAAGATTAAAACCATGAGGGGAAGGAAGGGGTATGAAAAGATCTATATATATATGCAAATTTGATGAATTTAAGGTATTAGTTGACACGTACTATCTAAAAATAATAGCTGTTAGTGAAATATGGTTCAAAATCTCAGTTGTAAATCTAAATGGCTATAATCTGCATAGAAAAGACAGAAATGATGGGCCCAGAGGAGGTGGTGTGTGTTAATATATTACTGATTTAATAGTTTAATATAAATAATATTTGTATATTATTTATATTAAACTATTAAATCATTAGAGCTCAGTGATGCAGTTTTTAACTTAAGTAAAATTGAACAAATTTGGGCTATAGTGTATATTGAAAACAACAAGTATTTAGTTGGTTTTATCTACAGAGCTACCGATTTTGTTGACATATACAGTTTTGATTTTGTTTTTAAAAAAGCTAAAGACTATGTTGATAGAAAAAGATACAAAGACTTACTATTTACAGGGGATTTTATTTCCCATTGATCGTATGGTCAAACAAATCATCACAAACATTAAAAGTGAAAATGGCATTTAACATAATTTTAGTGAAACTTTTCTGTATCGGCATGTAAATGTTCCAATTTTTCAAATATCAAACAATTCTGCTACTAACACTCTTGATCTAATCTTCACAACTCAGCCGGAAAGCATCTGCGCTATTGATCCAAGATCATAACATAAATAAAGGTCATATGGTTATCTTTTTCAATTTCATTATTAAAAAGAAATTTAATAACTTATCGTACAGCTACTTAAAGTTTAATTACAAAAAAGCTGACACCAATAAAATCTCTGACTTTATTACAAATGTTGATTGGGTAATTCTATTTGAAACTTTATCTGTTCAGGAAATGTACGACAAACTAATTCACTTCTCAAATGTAGCATGTAATCAATTCAGTGCTTGATGTATCTCCAACAAAAAAACAAATTGCTTCATGGATAAAAAATGATCTTGAAACTCTAATTAAAAAAAGGCAAAATCTTGGATACCTGAACTTTGCTTGTAAATGGAAAGATCTTACTATGTGTAAAGAGTAAAACTGACTTGCAAATTAGTTAAAAAAGTAATTAAAATAGCTTGTCTTGCATATGAAAATGGTTTAGTTTAAAGATCCAAATCAAATCCAAAACTTCTGTATAAATACCTAAATAGCCAGCAACTAGTCAAAGAATCAGTCAGAGCCTTAAAAACAGCTAATGGTAATCTAACTAAAGAACCTAGAGATATAGCTAATCTACTCAATAAATATTTCTAAGATATTTTCATAAGTGAAAAAGATAGGGAACTTCCACATTTCACAGTTGAATTCAATAAAAATCTCTCAAAATTTGTCGATCTAGATCCAAATGATATCAGCAATGAAATGATAATAGATAAAATAAAAAACCTTAACCAATATAAAGCATGTAGTCCTGATAATATGCATCCATTTCTGCTCAAAAACTGCTGAAGCATTTGCTTTTCCTCTAACATTATTTATTAAGGCATCTTTAACTAATAGTCAGCTTCTAGTTCAATTTAAATCAGCGAACATAACACCCCTATTCAAATAAGGTGATAAGACTCTTCCCTGCAATTATTATCTAGTTTCATTGATTTCTATTCCATGTAAAATTATGGAAAGTATAATTAGAGCTAAAATGGAAGAGTACCTGTATAAAAATAATCTACTAGCAAAAGAGCATCATGGTTTCATTAGAAACAAATCATGTATCACTAATCTTTTAGAAAACATTGACTACATTTCATCAAGCTCAGATATTGGTTTTCCAATTGATGTAATTTTGTTAGATTTTGCTAAAGCCTTCCGCACAGGAGACTGTTAGTCAAACTAAAAGCATACGGCTTTGATGGTCTGCTACTTAAATAGATCGCAGCTTTCTTAGAAAACAGAAGACAAAGAGTTGTTCAAGGTGAAATCATTTCTTGCTGGGTTAAGATTTTTAGTGGTGTCCTACAAGGTTTGGTAATTGCAGCACTTTTATTTGTTTTATACATTAACGACCTTCCAAAAAAATTGCCTAATGTAAGCAAACTATATGCTGATGATACAAAAGTACTTTCTCAATCATCATCAGAGCTATGTGCTATTAATCTTCAAAATGATCTAGATATTGTCTACAAATGGTCTTAAACTTGGCTTCTTCTGTTTAACATACCAAAATGTGTAGTTATGGCCACAATAACAAAAACTACGTATATAGTTTAAATAGTATTCAATTAACGGAATCAGATACAGAAAGAGATCTGGGAGTACTTTTCCATACAAACCTAAAATGGAAAAATCAAGTGATTAATGTTTCTAACAAAGCAAATCAAATGCTTGGTCGTATCAAAGGATCATTTGTTTGTTTTGATTATAAGTTATTTAGTTTGCTTTTTATTACTTTTGTTTGTCCATTACTGGAGTTTGCAGTTCCGGTATGGTCTCCATTTCTTAAATCGGATTGTGACTATATTAAAAGAATCCAGCACTAAGCTACTAAACTAGTTTCATTATCAGATATCTTTCCTATACAAAAAGACTCGAAGAATTAAACCTAACTACACTAGTAGAAAGGAGACAAAGAGGAGATCTAATACAATTGTGTAAAATTATGATAAAATATGTAATATTGATAAATTAGAAAAAAGCATTTGTTTTTCAATTGTTAAAAATCATACATGTATATATATATATGTGTGTGTGTGTGTATATATATACATATATATAAATATATACACATATATAAATCTATACTTTATCTTAAATATTTTTTTTTTTAGAAATTCTACAACGCTGCTGTGCAGGTCAAAAAGATGAGCTTGATGTTGAAATGGAAAGTGACATGTTGTTTATTCTTTCTATCTTGACTCAAGATGACAACCATAAAAAAGTATTTGCTTGTTAGCGTAGTTCTATTTAAATAAAAAATTTATTTTTCATTTTTTTTTCTTATTGTTTTAGTGACTATGTTTTCCTTGTCTATGGATGCTTTAAAATCATTAATTATTCAATTTTAGGACTATCAGTAGCATGACTCAAGCTTGTATGTGCAAAATTCCCACTGCTTTAATAAACTTCATCAAGTTAAACTTCCTTAAATATCCTTAAATAACATTTTAAATGATTGAGAGATGACAGATTTGTATAGAAACCGTTTTCAAAAACTTGCATTGTGTTCCAAGTTTTGCCTATAAAATATTACTCATTAATTTTGTTTTTTTAATTAACATCATTGTTTTAAGTTTACTCCTATCTTCATGTTTTCCTGCGTCATTTAGTTTACAACTTTTTAAGTGTCAGTTTAAGTATTTTTGGGCTCCTTTATCTTTTTTTTTTTTTTTTTTTTGCTCTTAACTCCTTAATAGTGGTTGCTTTCAGTCTTGTTATAAATGAATTCATATTACTATATATATATTTTTTTTGTTATGGTGAAAAACACAGAACAAAGCTTTGTTGTTAAGTTGATAGTAAAAACACAGAACAAAACTTTTTAAAGCAAATTTCTAATTGGTTTTAAGCTCATATAAACCCAGAAAATTTGAAAGTTTTCTAGGTTTATATGTGCTTACATTTTTTCCAAGATTAATTTATAGGCAGTTTAATGGTTCCCTTAGTAACACCTTGACAATCAGTATTATACCAGTATATTAATTTTTTTCCTAGTAGGAATTTAGTTGAAATAGATTTTCTGGTATTGAAATAATTTTCAAAGTAATTAAACAAATCAGAAATAATATTAATCTATGCATATGCAGTAGTTGTTTAAAGTTAAAACTGTGTGCGGGTGTATGTATTAAAGTTTAAACTCTGTGCGGGTGTATATATTAAAGTTAAAACTGTGTGCGGTTAAATGTATTAAATAAAGTTATTACTTTGAACACAAAAAGTTTTTTTTTATTTAAATATGTAATTAAATTTTTTTAGAGCAAAATGTAAAGGACTTTTAGACAAAAATGAAAAAATAATATGATGAAATTAACTAAAATATGTTTTTGTTTTTAAAGTTTATATATATATATTATTTTTTTATGTTCAACTGATAGCAGTTTTTATAGTAAAATTGCAGTTTGAAACTATCAATTTTGATAATTTTTATAAAAATCTTTTTGACTAATAAATGTCCAAACATGTGTAAAATGTTTATTTAAAAACTGTAGTTGTCCAAACATGTATAAAATGTTTATTTAAAAACTGTAGTTGTCCAAACATGTGTAAAATGTTCATTTGAAAACTGTAGTTGTCCAAACATGTGTAAAATGTTCATTTGAAAACTGTAGTTTGTATTCAAAGTTTTTTTTTATTTGCAACTTCTAGTATATTTACTTTAACTTGATCGAAGTATCATATTTTAACTAAGGTACCTCCTTAAACTAATAATGATATAATGATATAATTATAATTATTGTAACTCAAACAGTTTAAAAGAATCTGTTAATTATATGTACGATTATTTGTTACATGAGTCTGTTTAAAATTCAAAGAAAAAAATCCCTCGTTTAAAAACAAATAACTACATAAATCACTTGAAAAAATTAATCCAAGGATCAAAACTTAATAAAACTTGAAATCTTACTTAAATTGTTTTTATACTAAAATAATATTAATAATTAATAATTGCATTACACTATAATATTTTTCATATTTAATCATATTTTCCATATTTAATCAGCATTACTGAAACTTAGTTTAATGACCTTTCTGATACACTTATAAGTTATGTATTGCATCATTGTGTTTGTGCAAATGAAAAAATTGGAAGAGTTGCAATTTATGTAAAAAATCAGTATAACTCATATTAAGTAATTGTAGTAACTATGAGCTGTGTAGAAACCAAACATGTTTAAGCTTTTGGAGTTAAAAAAATTTTAGAAGGTTGTATATATAGGCCACCAAATTCAAATGAATTTACAAATAATAAAATTTTAAACATAAGAAATACAAGTAAGTCGGTCAAAAAAAGTCTTGACAGATCTTATAATTACAAGTGATTGTAATTACAATACAAATAGATTGTTCTCAAATGAAGAAATTACAGAGGCTGAAAAATTTGTAAATTGTCTTAATGAATGTTTTTTAAACCTATGTGTTGTAAACTTTTCATGAGACAATCTTATTTGACTTGATAACACTAAACAACGGACACAGTAACGACAGGCACTGCAAACAGCAAATCATTTAGTATCTTATGATTTTACAAAAGTCTTTAAAAAACTCTTACAGAAGGTTATTACTTGGAGCATATGGAATTGTATCTTAATCGTATCGTTATTAAAGTGGCATAATGGAATTGTATAAAATCATATCGTTATTAAAGTGGATAAGTTCTTTTTTAAATGGTAAAAATCAAAGGGTTGCACTTGGAGATCGTGCATCATCATAGTTATATATAGAAAGTAGTGTACCGTAATGATCTGTGCTTGGTCCATTTTATTTTTAATATAAATCAATAATCTTTCAACTCAACAAATTAAATGATGTTATATGCAGACTATTGTAAATGCAGGCAAATAATTGCTGAAATAAAATGAATGCAACAGCTTCACAAATTGACATTGCTATATTAAAAAAATATATGACAAAATCATGCATATCTGTATTATATAGCCTCCCCTATCCTTTCCATTTCTGCAAAAATGTGTTATAATGTTGTGTATGCGCTAACTTAAAGGAAATTTATGTGCTAACATAAAACAAATATATATGTGCAATTGTATGTGCTAACATAAAGGAAATTTAGGATAACTAACTTATTAAATTAATAAGCTGTTGAATTGCTTTTGCAATATACTTAATTCAGTAACTGACATATGCTAAATTTTCCATAAGTAAGTAGTGCTGTAAAAGTTAGGATGTAGCATTAGAAGTTTAGTTACATCTTAACTTTTATGATATTAACATTTTAAGCTATAGCTTGTTGATTCAATAAAATAGTATTTAGTAACATCCTCAATTTCACTATTGAAAGCACATATCATTGTAGTAAACTTGCATGAAGCTAAACAATTTTTATTATCAAATTTTAAGAAAGCAAAATGTTTACAAAATATATCTTTAACACCTTTAGTTTTAATTTTATTAATTCATCATGGTTCCTCATGAAAGCTTTAAAAATAATACTTATTGGCAATGTGACATTCAGCCAAAATTCTGTGGAATTCACAATTGGACCAGTGTTGGCTCATTAACAAATGCTATCGGATAGACACACATTTACTTGCCAGCACTCTCTCATACAAGTGCACACTACTATGACTGTTTGCAATGATTTGCCAGATATTAGTGAAGTGTACCAGGCTTGCACCAGTACTGGCCTGTTCCAAATACAGTTGCAACAGCTTGCGACAATTTGTTGTAATTTATTCACTGATAAAAAATATTTAAATTAAAATGTGAGAATATTTTTACCAACAGCCTAAGTCTGAAACAAAGTGAAACAATAGAAATTAAAAATCTCAACTTATTTAAAGCTAAACTAGATTTAATTAAGTATATTTAACTGTTTTGTTTTGTCTGAAAAAGATTTAACATTACATTTTATCACTAGTATTGTATATTATATTATTATTATTGTAACACTTTTTTATTTTGCGACCAACCCCCCGGCCCCATGCTTTTCTTAGAATACTTCATTATAAATTTTTTTAAAAGTATTTTTTTTTTTAAAGGAACTTTTTGGTGTATCCGGAGTGAAGACATTGCTAATGTATTTGAAATGTTATTTGAATAACTCAAACAATGTTTTAAATTTTAGTAAACTTGCATTGACAACTTTAGACTGCATTCGGTCTGTCATTTCTTAATTTCATTTTTTTTTTCGTTTTTGAAAGTGTTAATTAAAATATAAATTTACACAGATTTCAATGCATGTAAAAATTCTAGTTAAGAAAAATATAACAAATGACATAGAATTATGTTTTTATATTTAGAACATGTGTAATTGGTTGCGGAATAAATGAAATTGCCTTCTTAGAAAATGAAGGTGCTTTTGTGTTGTTAGATATTTTACAGGTTTGTTATCTTGTTTTTTTTTTTTTTTTAATCTATTTTAATTTCCTTTTTTTAATTTCAAAAAAGTAAATTTTTGTTTCCAATTCAATAAAAAAATTAACTATTTTAGAAGTGTTCTTTTCTTATAAAGACTGCTGCTCTTGGAATTCTTTTGGATTTGAGTGAAAATAGAAGGGTATTTTTCACTATAATACATTATCTTTAAAACATGTTTGTTACTTACCTTTTAACTATTTTGTTTATAAATATATAAGTTTTTTTAGTTGTTGCTAAGTAAATTTTTTTTATTGTTGCTAAAATTAATACAAAAATGTGTAGTATTTTTATTTTTTGTTTTCATCATTAAGTTTATTTAAATAAAAGTTATTACAGACTTTAGATCATTTAAAGTTGTGGCGAGGAAAGAAAGAGAGCACAATGGGAAATCTCCTTCTTCATTTTTGGATAGCTGAAGAGCAGAGGTTGGGTGTTCTGAGAAGTAAGCATGGACTTATTGATGGTGAGAAAATAAAAAAATTTATATATTTTATATATTTACATTATTATAAATTTATTTATTTTATATATTTATATACATATATATATATATATATATATATATATATATATATATATATATATATATATATATATATATATATATATATATATATATATATATATATATATATATATATATATATATATATATGTATATATATATATATATATATATATATATATATATATGTATATATATATATATATATATATATATATATATATATATATATATATATATATATATATATATATATATATATATATATATATATATATATATATATATATATATATATATATATATATATAAGGGTGGTTCAAATTTAGGTCAAAAATTGAGAGTGGAGTGGAAGTTTATAAGATGCACAGATCCTGGTTTTATAATAGGATTTTTTTTTTTCTTTTGAAGTTTAAGAGAGGCACACTAAAATCTAAAAAGGCATTCTAGTTAGGAGATGACATACAAATCATGATTGATGAAATAAAAGTGGATAGAAAAAGAACTAAAGAAAGTAAATGTATGGACATTATGTTCTTGAAAATTCAGAAGGAAAAAAGACAAGGTTTTCTAGGCGTTTCTGATACCTGCTTCAAAAAGTCTGCAAAAAGATCTGGAAAAAAAAAATTCAAAAGGGAATCATCAGAAAAAATAGGAGATTTAGATACTTACAGCTCATAAGATGATGTAGTGATTTTTCTGATGATTCCCCTTTTAATTTTTTTTTTTTTCAGATCTTTTTGCAGACTTTTTGAAGCAAGAGTTATTGGAACTATCTTTGATGGTAGTTTCTCAAAAAGATAGATTCAAATTTTGTATTCCTGGTCCAATATATCATGCAATAAAATACATCATGCTAGATTTATGTCAAAAGTGTTGTATTATGTTAAAATGTATTTACTATTAGAAGCTATTCCAAGTTTATCAGAAGGAAATAAAGAAGAGATTCGTAAAATGTCTATGTTTGTTGGTATCTTTTACACTCAATGGTTTCTTAGAGCTGTATTGGCAACTGCTGCGTCATATCAGGGTAAAAATAATCATTATAAATAAGAAAAAAGTGTAAAAAATGATGAGTTAATTTTCCAATTAATGACTTAATCTAATATTGTTAAACATATTTTTAGGATATGAAAGCTCTGTGGCAGATGAAGAGGTTTATAGATATAAATCTTCTTGGAGCTACTTTAGCAATAAAATCATTTGACAGACACAGCTGGTACCCTGATCCTGCCTTAGTTGTGCTTGCATTAGCAGATAAACGTTGCCCAAACAGAGTAGATATTGCCACATCATTATACAATACACTTCTTACCAAACTAATAGTGTATCCACTTGAACATGTTATGGTCAATAAAGAGGTTCTTTACTCTCTAGACTTTTCTCAAAATTAGCCTCCATCTCTTTGTTCTCAAATAACTAAGCAATCTTGGCTCATCTTTGATAGGATGGGTCATGGAAAGGGTGAGTTGCAGTTGCTTAAGATTCCCTCCCAGTTTTGGAAGTTTAACGATTTTTATATTGAGTTTAAATCTACTATTAAATCTCTTGATGTGATTAACAATTTGTCAGAGAGGACCATAAATCTAGTAAAAGAACTGATTGGAAAATCAACAAATGAGAAGAAGAGACGAGACTTGTTCTCTCTCTCTCTCTCTCTCTCTCTATATATATATATATATATATATATATATATATATATATATATATATATATATATATATATATATATATATATATATATATATATATATATATATGTATATATATAGAGAGAGAAGTTTTGGCCTTATGAATTTAATTGCATCAAAATTAATTTTATATATATATATATATATTCAATATATATGTACATATATATATATATATATATATATATATATATATATATATATATATATATATATATATATATATATATATATATATATATATATATATATATATATATATATATATAATATATATATATATATATATATATATATATATATATATATATATATATATATATATATATATATATATATATATATATATATATATATATATATATATATATATATATTGAATTGCTTTTTTAACATTATGTTACTTCTTTGTACTTGAATTGTTTAGTTTTATTCCAATATTTTATTGTTTAAATGTTTTTTATTAGTCTCTTACCTCAGTTATTTTGTTAAATATTATTAATTTTTTAACTCTTTAGTTTTATAAAATAAGAGTTGGTGTTTGAAAAGTTATTTCCTAACACTAAGATTTAGTGAAGTTGGTAAACTTTATCTACATGTTATTTATCACAAGCAGCAACGAAAGCTACCGCGATCACTGAAATAAAGAAAATCGTTTTTTTTGTCAATATTTAGCGACTTTTCTATAAATTTTTCAGTGTTAAAAAAAATATATATAAATAGAGTGACTTTTTATTTTTTTATATAGGTTCTTCCAAGAATATATAAAAAAAAAATAATTTGAATTTAATGTTTAAGGGGGTGGCACACGCGGGTCAACAAACATCAAAAAAGATTTAAAAAAAGTACTTTTGGATCGTGTGCCACCTTTAAACTTCAAAAAAAAAAATCCTATATATAAAATAAGGGTCTGTGCACCTTATAAACTTCAACTCTTGTTGTAAAAAGTTTTTGACCTAAATTTGAACCACCCTAATATATATATATATATATATATATATATATATATATATATATATATATATATATATATATATATATATATATATATATATATATATATATATATATATGTATATATATATATATATATATATATATATATATATATATATATATATATATATATATATATATATATATATATATATATATATATATATATATATATATATATATATATGTATATATATAGAGAGAGAGAAGTTTTGGCCTTATGAATTTAATTGCATCAAAATTAATTTTATATTTATATATATATATATATATATATATATATATATTGAGTATATATATTGAGTATATATATTGAATATATATGTATATATATATATATATATATATATATATATATATATATATATTGAATATATATGTATATATATATATATATATATATATATATATATATATATTGAATATATATATATATATATTTATATATATATATATATATATATATATATATATATATATTGAATATATATGTATATATATATATATATATATATATATTGAATATATATATATTGAATATATATATATATATATATATATATATATATATATTGAATTGCTTTTTTAACATTATGTTACTTCTTTGTAATTGAATTGTTTAGTTTTATTCCAATATTTTATTGTTTAAATGGTTTTTATTAGTCTCTTACCTCAGTTATTTTGTTAAATATTATTAATTTTTTACTCTTTATAAAATAGTTTTATAAAATATAAGTTGGTGTTTGAAAAGTTATTTCCTAACACTAAGATTTAGTGAAGTTGGTAAACTTTATTAGAAAAGAAACTTAAATTAGTTTGTCTTATTGATGGGCAGTTTTGTTGTGTATTTTTTTTTTTTTTTAGTTTTGTTGGATATTCAACAGTATAATCTTATTATTATCATTATCAGATGTTTTTAGTCGTTTTGTAATATCAAATGCAATTGACAACGCTACATATTTTTATTAAAACTTCTTATATATTTAATATGAATGCATTTATTATGGTATTTTAAAAATATCGAGCGTGACTATCATTAACACACCTTAATTAAGTTATTGGTGCAGTATTGAAGCTTAAAGTTTGTTAGATAGCATTAAATTCGATAAATTGTAGATAAGCTTCTGACATAATAACCATAATGGACAAACCAATCGGACCAGAAATTTTCAAGGTATGTATTTTGTCATCCCATAAAAAATAACATTTACTTACTCAAAGTTCAATAAGCTTGTGAATATCTACTAATGACAATTTAGTTCGCATCTTAAGATTATCTTTGCTTAGAATATCAATTATAGCAATTGTTGCTTTATCTAGTGGAATTGATGGATACAAATTAATAATATCAAATGATACTTGAATTTCATTTTTTTCGATAAACCATTCTTTAGCCTCAGGTACAAATGAAAAAGAATTTTTAACCCTACATTCGTTTTTTTTAAGTGTAGGTTGTATTATTTCAACAAGATTTTGCGAATGTTTATGAGCTGGTGTTCAATTTAGTTGAAACTATAGTATGCATAAAGTAACTTTTATCACTTTTATGTGCTTAAATGCATCCATATAATCTAAGTGGAACAGTGTCAGAAGGATATATTTTATCATAAGTTTTTTTATCAAATTTTTTTTCCTTGTTTAGTTTACTGAGAGTTCCTTGAATTAAACAAAGAAAATTTTGTGTAGGATCGACAGCAGAAATAGTGTAGTTACCAAGTTGTTCTTTAATTTTTTTAATGCTGATTCTGAAACTAACCGTTTTTCGTTATAGTAATTATATACTTAATATTTTTTGTCACAATAAATCAACATTGCATCCAAATAGTTTTCCTGGTGTTTATCAGTTAAATTGTTCATGCGTTACAAGTTATGTTTACGAAACTATAAAAAAAGTTTCCACACGTGTTAAAAAACACAAAAAAAACATAGCTAAAGGTAACTGGGACGCATCAGGAATAGTTGAACACGCCCAACATTGTTGTGGTTCAATTAACTTTAGTAAACCAAAAATTATTTCTATTACTCCTAAAAACTATACTCGTAAGATTCAAGAAGCAATTGAAATACAACGTTTACAGTGCTCTAAATCACAAGAGAATATCTTAAATTGCGACAATGGTAACTTAGTGATGACTACTTTTTGTTAAACGTAACAAGTGTATATCTGCAACGTTGCAATGATATCGTTTAATGGCTTATACTATATAAGCTAAAATATCACCATTTAATAATAAAAATAATGTATAACTAAACACGATGTTTTTAATCAATTAAGAATATATATATATATATAATGTATATATATATATATATATTTATATTTAATGTATATATATATATATATATATATATATATATATATATATATATATATATATATATATATATATTTTAAAATAAAACTTCTTTTTATGGATTGATTTCTATTTGCAAAAATTGTATTTATTTTTGCGATATTTCGAGGGAATATGGATACCCTCGTTATCAAGTATATAAAAACCGTTACAAAAAAACAAAACCGCTATATTATATAAAAACTGGATCTATATTATATAAAAACAAAGGATCTGGATTAGTTCGAATTGATCAAAATAATGCTCTAGAAAAAATTAAAGAGCACTTAGGAGATACAAAAAAGTTAAATTACGACACAACTATTCAAATTCTTCACAAAGTTCAAATCACTCTCAGAAAGTTAAATAAACTAGGACGTTTTACCGAAAAAGAATATATAAATATCTACCCGAGTGACGCCGTACTACTACGTTTATATGGAGTAATTAAAACCCATAAGCCTGAAAAAGGTTATCCAATGAGATTAATTGTAAGCACCATTGGTTCACCTACATATAGCATCTCTAAATATTTAGTCAATATGGTACAACCAACTCTAAACTTAAATGAAACTCGTTTAAAAAATTCTCAACAATTTGTGGATGCAGCAAGACTATGGGAAATCGTTCAGAATGAAGTTCAGGTCTCCTTTAATGTTGTTAATTTGTACCCTTTGGTCTCGATTAAAGAAGCAATCATTATACTAGTTGAAAGATTAAGAAACAACCAGAGCTTTATATCTAAATTATCTTTTGAAGAAATCAGGCTACTTTTAGAAGTTTGTCTTTCTCATTGCTATTTTTTATATGAAAATGATATTCATGAGCTTAAAAACTCCGGACCAATTGGGTTAGCTCTTATGGTAATAGTTGCTGAGTGTTTTTTACAAAAGTAAGGCTCTTTCATTGGCGCTTAACAATAACATCCATGTGAAATCATTTAAAAGATATGTTGATGATATACATACAAGGTTCCAGGTAGAAGAAGATGCGCAAAAGTTTTTAGATCTACTTAACAAACAACACAAAAATATTCAATACACAATGGAATCTGCTGACTTAACCAATACCTCAAACTATCTTGATGTTTCAGTTACCAACAATAAAACCGGTACATATAGTTTTAAAATACATCGCAAAAATGCAATCGCAAATGTTCAAATTAAACCGAACTCGTGCCATGACCCTAAAATTATCAATGGTGTCTTTATTGGTTTCGTCCATAGAGCATTACGTTTATGCACAATAAATAACATTGATGATGAGTTGTCATTTCTTATCGATGTATTTGTAGAAAACGGCTATGAGAGGAAAAGTCTGGAAAAACTAGTTAAGTTTATGAAAGAAAGTCTTAACAACAACAACAACAAAAAAGATCTCTTGAAAAATCAACATTTTCTAAAGTCTTCAAAAAGAATTGTGTTTTACCCTGGATCCCTGGAGTCAGTCCTAAGTTAAGAAGAGTTTTTAAAAAAGCAGGATACGCACCAGTGTTTAAGTCTCCAAAAAATCTCTAAAGTCTACTAAGTTCCAAAAATAAACCTACACTACCAGTTAATTCCTTTCCCGGTGTTTACAAATTAAAGTGCTCTTGTGGCAAATGTTATGTTGGTGAAACTGGACTAAAGATATCGTCTCGGATATGCCAGCATCAAACAAGTGCACAACAAGGTGAAGGGGAAAATTCAGCTGTAGCTGAACATTCCAAAATTTGCCAAGGAAAATTCAACTGGAATGGTCGCAATACGTTAAAAATCGAAAGAAATAGTTTTAAAAGGGAAGTTAATGAAGCCTTGGAAATACAACTCAACGAAAGTACCTTTCGTGACAATGATCTTAATCGAGATGATGGCGATTATGTGACGACATCATTTTGGAAACCCATGTTTAAATTCTTACGTCACAAAAAACTCACTTTAATAACTCTCTTAAAAAGAAGCTCTTACAAAGAACATTGTTTCGTTAATTTAAACAGTTTTTATATAATATTGCGGTTTTGTTTTTTTATAACGGTTTTTATATACTTGATAACGAGGGTATCCATATTCCCTCGAAATATCGTAAAAATAAATATAATTTTTGCAAATAGAAATCAATCTATAAAAAGAAGTTTTATTTTAAAATATTTATACAAATAAAATCTATTGAAGATGTCAACATTTAAATATATATATATATATATATATATATATATATATATATATATATATATATATATAAAATATATATATATATAAATATATATAAATATATATATATATATATATATATATATATATATACATATATAATATATATACATATATAATATATATACATATATAATATATATACATATATAATATATATACATACATAATATATATATAAAAGTTTTTTTTTTTTTTTTTTGCAGATTTAAAAAAGCCAATAATGACAAAACTTCAACGTGTTGCTTCACTTGTCAACATACCTCAAGTCAGCTCTTCAATATTTGATGTTACTGACAACATACGAGCTAAAATATACAGTTTATTTACTAGAATTGGTCATTTTTATTTCATTTTAGATGGTTTTTTAATTTTAGCTGACTTTTTCTTAACTTAATTGTCTATTTTTTTCTGACAAAATGAATATGAACTATTTCATACTTATATAATGCTTGTCCAATCTCCTCTTTATGTACTTACATAAGATACTACAATGAAAGATATATTTATAGATATTTTTATAAGATATATTTATAGTCTAAAAATTTCTTTTTCAAAGTGCAGATTTTAAAGTTAGTAACTTAAACACACAAGAAGCAATTGCTCTGTCAATTATAAAAAGATATTTGGATTTTAAGGTAATAACTATTATATAAGTTTTTATGTTGCCAAATTTTAAATATATACAATAAAAGGAGTGATGTTGAAGAAATTTTAATAACTGTATGTCAGCTAAAGTTGAATCTGTTATGTTAAAACTTACTCAAAAATTATTTTAAGTCAATTAGATGACTTTCAAGTCCCTCTCAGCAGTTGTTAAAGTTGGTAAACATTTTTTAAATTGATATCAATTAAAACAATATTTACAAGATGGGAATCAAGTTTCTGGTATGAAAATTGGTTAGGAAAATTGGTTATGTATTAGCATATCTCTTGGGGTGGAAGTGATAACTAGTTTTTACCTATCTAACATCCTACCCTATCATTGAGAAAATTAGGATAAAATAAATTTTCAACCAAAGGAGCAAGGACTGGTTCTTTATTTTATTAATTACATTATTGTACCATTCTGATCTTTATTTCTGTTTTTAAAAAATAAGAGTTTCGGATTTGAAAAAAAAGTAAAGCATCTGTAATGACTTTTTTTTTTTCTTTTTTCTCTATAAAAACTTTTTATTTAAAATAACCTGGGAACAATTGTTGAATCTAGATACCATTTGTGTTTTTAAAAAGATGTGTGTTGTAAATGATCATTCTGAATAAGTTTTTAAAATGATGCCCCAGTTTGTGCAAGGATATGAAAGCGGATGAAATGTAACATAACATACAACTAATAACTGTAGCAAAGTAAATTCAACTTTCAGAGTATTAGAAGGGAGGAGAAGCAAAAAAAAATGTCCAAAAATCTGATGTCACTCAGCAATAAAAAAAAGAAGTAGTGGACTAAGGTGTTAAAAAGCAATTATTACTCAATTTAAAATGTTTTTTTGTCTGTGGCACTTATAAAGATTTTTTTAAATAATAAATTTCTTATTTAGTTGTTTTTTTTATGCAAAAAGGTTTTTAAAAAGTGTGTGAAAAACTTCCCTATTTCAATCCGATTTATGTATGTTACCCTGGTAGATTATTTGAAATTTTCAAATTTTATTCAATTTTTAGAAAGTTTTACAAAACAGGTTTAAAACTTTTAAATAAATTTTAGGTATGTCAATTACACAATTGATCAATTTATTTTTTGCATAGCAGAAACTTTTTTACTTAAAAATAAGAAAAAAACATGACGACATTTTTTTAATAAAAAATATAAAACCAAAATATTAAGAAATATACTTTTATTTAGATTACACCCTACTTTTAAATTTAAGAAAAATAGTTTTTCAACAAATTTAAATTTAAATGGTACATAGAAGTCAATAGAATGGCCTGAAAAAGTTTTAACATGTTTGTTCTAACTTTAGCTGGGTATGTACCAAATTTTCTCAAAATGACTGACAAAAAAAAAAGTTAAAGTTTATAATGATATTATGCTAATTTTGTTTTCCTTAAAAATCTTTAAAGGCATTAGAGATATGGCAAGAAATTCAAACTGAATTAGAGGTGGAAAATGTCAAACTTGTGGAATCAGATAAAAAATGTCTTGATATCATTATTGCAAAACTGGAAAACAAAGTACAACTAGTTGCAAATAATCAGGTTTGAGATTTATATAAATTATTCTTAATTTAAGCTTTCTTTCTTTTTTTTTATTTATCTTGTTCAATTGTATATTTGCAAAGTTTGTTCCACATTGAAATGCAATTTGTATTGCAAAGTGGTTTTGCCATAATTAAAATATTTTAATGTGAATCTCATCAAACTATTTTAATCTTTTTTTTCAATGTAAACAAGAACAAAAACATCATCAATAAAAAAAGATAACTGGTTTCATCTTTTAAAAGCAAAATTTAAATCAACCATTTATTACTAGCTGTCATGACCCGTACGATACAGGTCGTAGTAAGTCTAATCCTCACCCAACTATTTCTAAACTTGTTCCTAATTTAGTCTTTATACTTTAATTTATTTTAGTAAACAACAAAAAATAAATCAATTTAAAGTCTGGTAGTTGGTAAAATGCAAACTTTTTTGCGAACCATAAATCCATTGCTTGTTAAATTATAATTAATTTAAAAGAAAACAGTCTAATTTAGATAAAACATATCAAATACCATTATATTTAATTTAAAAAATTGATGAGCATATTTTAAATATCACGACTGTTGTGCTCATTTAAATGTCTTGGTTCGCTAAAATGTACGCAGCTTGCATTTTACTGACTACCTAAAGTTCTTGCCTTCTAGTTATTTTTTTAATAACTATACTTGAGAGCTATTTAGTATTTTTACTTTTTACATTATTACTTATTTACTTTAAAATTTTCTACATAATAAAAGTATCTTTAGCATAAAAGACAGTTGCATAACATTTTTCAGGTGTTTTTGGAAACTTAGGCTATGATAATAATATTTTAACTCTCTCATAAGGATTTATTTAAAAAGCAAGTTTAGACATTGAAAAATATGCCCAAGAAAACTAGTTATTTTAAATAAGTTAGCTTTATCTGTTTAATATTTTTTATAAAAGGCTTTCTGTTAAAAAAACTCTTAACAAATTCATACAACTAAGATGTTTTTACTGCGGAATTAGGTAAATAAATTTTCAAAACTGCTGTTTGTGCAATCGGTATTTAATGCAAATGGAAACTGTCTTGATCGTACAAAAGGTGATAAAAGTATAAATGGTTTCCATTCACATATAAAAAGATAATGGAAATATAAAAAACAAAACAAAAATAGCCAATATATCCATTCAAAACAAAAATTCCTAAGATAAAAAATATAGAAATTTATTTGAGAAACAAACAAAAAAATAAAAAAAATAAACTTAAAAAAAAACTACAAAAAAATTTTATATTCAAAAATACTCATAAAAATAATTTAATTTGAAACATTTTTTCATTATTATATATCTTTTAGTAAATGGTATGAAGATTATCAAGCTTCGTTTTAGCTTTTTGAATACAATCAACATTCAGAACATTTCTTAAATTCTGCTATGTAGGAACTTTCAAAGTCAGTCATAGGAGAAAGAATTCGACCTAAAAATGGAACAAAGTTATTACTGAATACACTTAATACACATTATTTGTTATTCATTTATTTGAAAACTTAAAAATGTGACTAAACAGATAACAAATAAGCAACTTACTTTGTGAGGTCATTTATCTTTTGTGAATGTTACAAGATTTATTTTTGCAAGTTTGGATTAAGAACTCTTTTTTAAGGCTAAAAATAAATGATCACAATAAGATATACCTTTGTTTTTATTTGAAAACTGAATCTTCAGCTTTAGTGAATGATTATATGAAGTCAGTTTCAGTAGTGAAACTACCCAATAAATATTTTAAATTAAAATTTTTTTACCCCGATGTGTAACCAAGTAAACCAAGTCATTTAATCTATCAACACAAAACAACACAACAATATCATCTCAAAATTAACAAATAACATAACACATTACAGTAAACTCTAAATTACTCAAACCTTAAAGGGAACCAAGAAAGTAGCTTGTTAGAGAAAAATAAATAAAGGCTCAAATGAATTTTTAAAATTAGTTTAAGTTAAGTGTTATTGAGTTATCCAGAGTTTATTGTTCATATTTTAACTACTAAAAGCACACATGGAAAAACATAGAAAAATTAAAAACATATAAAAACACATATAAAAATAAACGCTAACAGTATATAAACACATATAGCCTTATATAACACACAAAAACACTCATTAACACATCATATGACACATAAAAATACTTGTCAAAAACTATAAATTAAGAACATTTACAAATATAACATGTGAAGTTTTCATCCAATGACATACCTTATTTATACATGTGTATATGCAAATGTTATGCAGGTGTTATGCAAATGACTTGTTATGCATGTGTAATGCAAATGACTTGGTTTTAGAACATGCTACATAGAATTGATTGTATGAAAACCAAAGTTTTTTGAGAGTAATAGCAACTTTATCAAATGTTTGGCCCTAACTATTATTGCACTCACTTAAACTTGACTTATTACATTGATTGATTGAATTAAAAGAAATATTTGTATGTGTTATATGTTAAGATGCTTATTACATATTTTAGGAAAAACGCAATTAAAAAATAATTATTAGAGGAACCTCTTTGTAAAGCATTTTTTGAAACTAAAAATTTTTATGAATTTTTTCATAATTCTTTGAAAATATTTATTCAATTAGTTTATTTTGTATAAAAGTCAAATTTAATTTTTTTGCCTTGAGGCTTTTTAAAAAATGGCTACAGTATTATAAAATAGTATTGTACAATAAATGCAATCAGTTAATGTTCAAAGTCAAGTATAAGTACAACAACACTTGTTGAGTCAGAAAAAGCAGCTAGAGCTATATATTTATATATATATATATATATATATATATATATATATATATATATATATATATATATATATATATATATATATATATATATATATATATATACATATATATATATATATATATAAATACAATAGTAATACTACACTCTTGCTGTAAACTCACAAGTCAATATTCATGACACAGAATTTATGGTTGCATCAAATTATCTAATATAAAATTTAACATCTTAAAACTGATTTAACAGATATTACAGATTATAATAAAGATAATAAAGGTTTGAGATTACCTTATCATTTGGTCAATATATAAAGTGATTATATGGTCAAACCTAACAAATCTTTTTTAAAAACTAAGAGTCAAAAAAATGAGTAAGTGTAATTGTGTAATGTGAAAATATGAAATTAAAAATAATTATGTTAACTAAATTGTATTCAAATTAGATAAATCTAGGTATGCTGCTGTCAACTTTTTTAAACTTGTTTACATTTTATTTAAAGCTTATTAAATTGCACATCAAGTTAATAAGTAAATTATTATGATTTATATAATCAATAAATTATTAAAATTTATATACAAATAAAAATGTATATATGTTATATGTTTAATAAAAAAAAAGTATTATTTTTTATAGAAGAAGATTTTACAAAAGTGTTTGGAAGAGGAAATAAACGAGGAATGTGACTATTTTCAAAAGGTTCAAATTTGAGTACATAGAATTTTTTTTTTTACTACTATAGCTGTTGTGATTATATATAAAAAAAGAAGTTAAGATTACTTGAGCTTGATGCTTAGTAACTGTAATATCTTAAGTGTAGTGTTTTAACTTTAGCAACTGTAATATTTTATTAAGGTTTAATTAAACTTGAACTTACAGCTACTGTTACTCATAGCAACTCATAGCATGGTCTTTAAATTAAGAACTTATTATAAAAAAATTTCTGTTTTGCTTATTTTTGTCAAAATATTAAGTGGACATGGAAAAATCCGGTCAACATTAAATTGAGATTTCTCTAAAAGCATAAATCCTTTTTATTTCAATTTTTTATTATTAATTATGTTAATATCAATTGCATTGTCAACTTAATGATTCAAGGTCTTCTTAGTGACAAATTTGTTTTTTAAATCTAATTCGATCTCTTACCAAACAGCTCGATGGGCTGTTTGGTAAGAGATCGAATTTTATAACGGATTGATGCCATCATTTTGCAGATTTTTTCTTTATTCATCTTATTGGTAGCACTAATCCACTTTTTTTGGATTTTATGTTACTCAATCTTTCGCTCTTCAGGATGATTCGGAGGGTTTGCATCTTTAGGAACAATTTTCACATTATTATATTTGCACAACTATAAAACTTTTTTAGAATAATGAGAAGCAGCAAGATCTGGCCAAAAGAGAAATCAGTATTTGTGCTTTTTCATAAATGGCAAAAGTCTTCTTTGGGGGCATTCTTTGATGTAGAGATTGGCATTCAAGGTCTTCTTAGTGACAAAACAAGAGGACTGCATACCACAGCACAGTGGTCGGAAACATCACTTTTCTTGGCCAAAAGTCAAAATTTTTACACTCACGAAATATGTTTTTGTTTTTTAAATCTAATAGTCAACACTCCAAAACAACCAAAAATTAATTTTGTTGTTGTAATATGCAATTCACCGTTATTCGGTGAGTCATCGAAGTTGAATTTGTTTGCTTCATTTGTAAATAGAATTGTGTCCGGTGTTTTATAGTGCTTACTTCAATTGCTTGTTAAAGCTGAAAACAAAGCGTGTTAAATAAAAGTTTAAATGGAAAACGAAGGTGATGGTAAGTTTATTAATTTTGTAAAATATAGTTTTACAAAATTAATAAACTTACCTATAAATCAAAATTTGGATACTCTGAAAAATAAAATAACTTTTTCCAAAAGTCTTTAACATTTTGGAATTTATTTTATTTTTTAAGTTTGAGTAAGCTTAACACATTTTTTTTAGGAGTGTTAAGCATAAGATTAAAAACCAAAAATACTTTGAAGTGTTTAGTTTTTGAAAATCTCGATTTGCGGTTTTTTGTGGTTTTTGAGTAAATTTTTTTTTTCAGGCATTATTTGTTTACAGAATTCAGCAGTTTTTTTATATTTGGTTGACCCAGCAGAAGAAAGGAAAAAATAAGGGCGCACTAATAAATTATTTTATGCAAAAATGTGGAGCCGATAAAATTTCAGATGAATGCTATAAATATTTAAAAGCACGCATGCTTAACAATAATTTGTCTGCAAAGTGGGAAAAGTGTCATAGAAGATTAGATGATTTTCAAATTAAATATTCTGGCTGGCTTTGTTCAGAAACTGTAATAAACAGGCAAATAAATTTAGAAATCGCTTCCACAGAGACTTAATGCATAGTAGAACTAGCCCAGATGAAAAAATTGTATCACTAACTGGACGCCCGCAACTTAAGTACTCTGAGAAATCTGAACGAAGTAAGAGGAGACAAGCAGCAAACCTCTCGATGTCAGAACACAAGGAAACAAATCTGTTAGTTCAAGCAGCATCAATTTCGGCTCGAAAACAAGGACAAATAGATTTGGCAGTTGTTTTAAAAGAAACCATCGTAAGTCCATCAAGACCATCCAAGATTAGGAAGCTATATGTTGATGATGTAAAAGCACCTATTGTAATGTCTGATGAGGAAGCGTTAGCATTTCTTCTCAAAAATAATTTTTCGAAGAGCCAATACTGTTCCATCCGGACTGAAATCAAGCAACGTAACGCTAATATTTATTCACCCTATGATAATATATTAGCAATAAAAAGTAAGTGCAGACCCGATGGTGTACTTGTAGACGACAAATGTGCAAAGGTTCCTTTACAAATGCTTTTAACGCATACAGCTAAAAGAATTATAGAGATGCAAAAGGAACTATTTGCGACAATTTTGGGTAACTTCATATCAAAGGAAATGATATTTTGCTACGGTTTTGACAGCAGCTCTGGTCAATCTCAATATAAGCAATCTTTCCTTGATCAAAGTGCATCATGAAATGCTGATTCATGTCTGTTGGCTACAACAGTGATTCCCTTGAGACTCTTGAGTAGCGCGGGAGCCCCGATTTTGGAATAATTGTTTTCCGCAGTCCACAAGATTTTGTCGACCTTTAAAATTAGAGTACACAAGTGAAACGAAGGAAGTGGTAACAAGAGAAGCTGCTGACTTAAATAAACAAATTCAAGAGCTTGAAAACTTATGTGTTGAAATCAAAGCTGGTAAGATAATCGAAATAACGTTCAGACTGTTTTTAAATGTTGTAGATGGAAAAGTTTTGAATGTTTTAACCGATACAAAATCAAATCAAAAATGTTCAATATGCCATGCAACCCAAACTGACTTTCTTAAAGTCACAGATTATAACAGCGTAAAATTTCATTCTATCGATGGAAATCTAAAGTACAGAAATAGTCCACTGCACTGCTGGATTAGATTTTTTGAGTTCGTACTACATTTAGGATACAAGATAGCAAAAGTAAAAAAAATGGCAAATAAGATCGGATGAAGATAAAGATGCAATTAAGAAAAAAAAAGAGTATATTCAGAATGAGTTTTGGAAAGAACCAAGTCTTCGTGTTGATTTTCCGAAAGTAGGTGGTTGTGGTTCCACAAATGACGGCAACATGTCGCGTAGAGCATTTACGGAATATGATAAATTTTTGAAAGTTTTAGGAGTAGACACAGAATTAATATTTTGAATGAGAATATTATTAATATGTTTATCTTGTCGATTTTCCCTAAATTTGGATAAATTTGAAGAGTATTGCTTTCAAACTGGTCAATTATACCAAAGCAAGTACCCCTGGTTGCCAATGACTCCCACAGTACATAAAGTTATAGTTCACTCAAAGCAAATAATGCAGAGTACAGCACTTCCTGTTGGTTACTTTGGAGAGGATGCAGTTGAGTCACGAAACAAAATATATAAAAGCGACAGGCTGCACCATGCACGTAAGACTAGCCACATTAATAATCTTTTCAATGTATTTCATAGAGGTCTTGTCACATTGGATCCATTAATTTCATCTTCGCTTAAATACACAATACATTAATTTCATCTTCGCTTAAATACACGTGTGCACCAAAGGAAGCATTTAACACTGCCACCAGAAGTAAAGGAATTATTGTATTGTGAGGATATTGGTGAAACATGTGCGACTGAGAATTTAGAAAATATGGATGGTGACGAGGACGATTATCCAGAACAACCTGAAGATGAAAATACATTTTTGGATAATGAATTGTACTTAAATTAAAGAGTTTAATCAAATTTTAATATTTTTGTAAATACGTGTGTAAATCATATTTTCAATTTCCAGAAACAACATATTTACTTGTAAGTATCATATATTTTCTAATTTAGAACTAAAAAAAATAAAAACTCAAAAAGAAAAAAAAAAAAAATTTTATGTAAAAATTTTTTTTTTAAATTTTAATTCTAAATGTTGATAATTTTTTTTCAAAAAATTATTATTTTATACAAAAACACTTAAAATATACTGCAAATTCAAATTTCAGTTAAAAATTCCGTTTTTTAAGTTTTAATAGTTTTGGCCAAGAAAAGTGATGTTTCCGATCAATATGCACAGCTACAAATTGCTTGCCACACAAGGAACTTGGATGCAAAAATTTCTTGTTGAATATATTTAAATTGATCATCAACCGGTTTATTTTTGTTCTTATAGTAAAATTGTAGACCAGAAAGTTGTGAAAAACCCGCCTTGCAATATGTTTTGTCATCATCAATTATACACATACTTTTATCCGCCATTATTTTAACCAACTTCTTTGTGCGTTTCAGGTTTTTTTCAAAGCTTTGAGTAGTCTTGAACTTATTTATAATACCTATGACTGTAGATTTTGGGACATTTGTACGTTTAGCAATCATGCAATATGATTATTGCAAAAATGGATAGATTTTTGCAAAAAAAATTCACAACTTATTAACGTACATCAATTTGTTTCCTAAACATTTTGGAAATCATTGATTTGTAAACAAAAATTTATCAACACAATTTAAGATAAAAAAGTAACGTTTAATTAAAAAAAAATAAAAGAAATAAAAAGCATTTGTGGTTTTAGAGAAATCTCATTTTAAAGTTGACCGGGTTTTACCGTGTCCACCCGATATATATTATGGGTTTCTTTATTTGTAAAAAAAAAAAAAGAAACTTTTTTTACATTATTTTACAGTTTAAAGACAGTCAAAAGCAAAAAGAGAAATCCTGTATTGATTTTATCAGCTTTGTTGAAAGAACATCTGATTACAATTGTCTTCAGGTTTAATTTTTATTTTTTATATAAAATAATGATAAAAATAATGAAGATAAAGAAGTTGTTATTATCAAGATATTTTTTAGATATACGGAATGGATAATAGAACTATTGATATTTCCATATTTAATAGAACCCAATAATTGTTTCATCAGCTTCCCCAAAAACACAGATAAAAAAAAAACTCTTTTATTATAGATATCAATCGATTTACATCTAATAATTTTGTCTCTATCTTTTGCTTTGTTCTCTCAATAATCTTTAAAGATCTGCTCTGTATACTTATATTTGTATAACTCAAAAAAAATGTTGTTTATATTTTACATTTTTGAAAAGTTTACATCTTTAGTTTTAAGATTTGTGTTAAAATTTTGATTAAAGTATTGAATTATTATTGAGTTATTATTAGATAAACTTTTGTAACCAATAAAAGATTAACATTAAAATTAAGTTATCATTAGGATTAAGATTATGAAGATTAAAAATCATTTAGTTAATATTGTATCAATTATTATTAAGTTATTATTTGATGCAATATTGAGAGTATTAACTTATCATTTATTGTAATTCTATCAAGATCCCCATGCTGACAACAGGAGTGCTGATAAACTTATATTTTGAGAAGTAATTATACCATATGTTGAACTTTTTGTCTTTTTGTTAGTGAAATATATTTTAACGCAATAAATATAGGACAAGTATTCAAAAAAAAGTGCAAAATCTTGAATAAAAAACAAACAAAAAAAAAATCAAATTCAAAATCACTTACATATAGACTAGAGTTAAACTGAAGGTAGGTTTTATTTTTATTTTTTCAAAGATTAATCTCTCAAGAAATTTTTTCTGAAACACATTTTCTATGAAAAAGTTTTTTTTTTTTTCTTTAAATAGAGAGCCCGGATGAAGCAATTGGATTTAATAGAAAAATCAAGACTTAAATCTAGACACTCTCTTCAACAAAGGTATGCATTGTAATATGGTATTAAAATCGAAATAATTTCTTTATAACATCTTTTTAGTGTCTTTCCCATATCTTTTTAATGTACTTCCCAGTGTGTTTTTCAAAAAATCTTTGATCACTTTTTTAGTGGTATAAAAGACTGTTATTTAGAGTATGTGACCAAGCACACTACTGTAGATAAAAAGTTGACGACCACGGTATGAGCTTCTTTTTTCTATATTACTTTATTTTCAATCTAAGTAGTTATTTCTAATTGTTTAACAGTAATGATTTTTAAATTTACATAAAACTATTTAAACCGACAACTATCTGCAATTTTTAGTTTATCTCTCTGCAATTGTTAGTTTACCCTCTGCAAAGTTCATTTTCTAATTAAAGTAAAAATTTGTATTCAACTTGTTTTTATATAAAATGTTATCAAAAAGTTTCAAAACTTTAGTAGATTGCATTTTGGAAGCTAATTTTTTTTTGGGAATACAAAATATTAAACAGGAAAATAGTGACAATCTAGTCAATTTTTCTATTACTTTTTTTGTTTTGTTATGTAAAGATCTGCTAGTTGTTGTCATAAACAATGCAATATATAGTTCGAAGATTTTTCATTACAAAATATTTGTTGATTTTATTTTTATGCTAAACAATGTTTGTCTGTTTGATTTTATTGTCAGGCATTATTGTAAGTATAAATAAACAATTTTTTTTTGTTAATGTTACCTAATAATAAAATTTTTTCATTATATTGGCAAAAGTCAGAGTGTTCAAAATTGAGATTAAAAATAGGGTTTCTTACTTCTTAAAAAAAGAAGAAAAAAAAGTGGGTTTCTTACAAGTTTAAGGTTTTTTTCAAAGCTTCCTCGATACTCTGCTTAAATTTATTTATGTGCAACCCTCAAATAAAAAATTATTGATGTGCAGCCCCAAAGTAAAAAATTATTGATGAGCAACCCTAAAGTAAAAAATTATTGATGTGCAACCCGCAAGTAAAAAATTATTACTATGCAACCTCCAAGTAAAAAATGACTATTTAAATATTTTATGTGAACAAAATATAAATTTATTTTTTTGGTGTTAATTTTTTTCTCCAGGGGATCTAAATTGTCTTCTAAGTAGCAGGTTTATCTATTTGTTTATTTATTTATATTTGATCACTGATGGTGGTTGTTGAAGAAGTATAGAGGTTTGAAGATGAAAAAATGTATCTCTGTTTGTGCCTCGTACTGATGTTTGTGCCTCGTACTGATGTTTTTCTTGTGTAATACTTATGATACTGCATCAAGTGCTTTTTTTAAGCCTACTGAGCATTCTTTAAGCCTACTGAGCATTCTTTAAGCCTACTGAGCATTCTTTAAGCCTACTGAGCATTCTTTAAGCCTACTGAGCATTCTTTAAGCCTACTGAGCATTCTTTAAGCCTACTGAGCATTCTTTAAGCCTACTGAGCATTCTTTAAGTCTACTGAGCATTCTTTAAGCCTACTGAGCATTCTTTAATAGTTGTCTGATAGGAATATTTATGTTTGAAACTAATGAACTAATAGTTTATAAACTGATGTTAGTATATGACACTTATTGAATTCTTCTGCAAGCAATTGAGCAGTATCAATACAATATTTGTTGAAGTCAGTGGTCTTGTGTTATTATTTACTGAACAAGATTTGAAAAATGATTTTTAAAAACTTTTTCTAATTAATTTTTGTTTAGTGCATTAATATCAGTTCATAGTTTAGAAATAATCTTCTGGTCATATTCCTGTCATTGGTAATTTCTATACCCCCTAGTTGTATCTTGTTTACATAAAGAGATCTTTGAAAGAATTTTAAGTTTTTGCTGCTCTTGGTGAAGATTTTTTGGTTTTCTTTTTGGTAGAATTTTATGATAGTATCTAAAGCATTTTTAGTTTTAACTTTCAATTTCATAACAGCTGTATAAGCAACCTCGTCATCTTTTAGTCCACCTGTTAATGACATTGATCTAAACAGATTATGTTGTTCAGATAAGGCAGAGATACAAATTTTAAATTAACTGAAACTAAAACTTTAAATGATTTTTAGTTTCAGTTAATCTTTTTGATGTTGATGGAAGTTTGTTTATTCTTTTGATATTCTATTGATAAAAAATAGAATCTTGTTTTCATAAACTCATGATAGGTACTAATTAAATGATCATATCTACAGTGGATCTTTGACTAAATTTCTTAAACTTAATACATAATTATGTTTTAATGAACATAATTATGCTTAAAAATATTATGCATAACACTAATCGTTACTTTATCTTTATCAAAGGTACTTTTTTTAAAAAGTTTTTTTGTCAGCTTGAAAGAATTAACTTATTTATTTACTCATTGAGTGCTGTTATCATGTTTACTTGTAATTCACATCTGCTGGGATGATTTTTATTGGTTATTGTTGATCGAATTTTGAGTTATAATCAATCAAAATTAAAATAAATGACAGCAACTACTTATTTTACTTTAAAAATAAAAAGTTTTTTTTATCATAAGTTGAAAAGTTTTTTTTTATCTTATAATTAATGTTTGGTTTTCAAGTCAATAGGTTTTACACTCATCAAAAATAGAAATGTTTTGGTATTATATATTTTTGATCAAATGTTTTGTTCTAGCCAGAGTCTTTAATGCATTTTCTCAGTATTGATAAACAATGTAAATATTCTTGCCTACATCGTTCTTCCCCAGCAAACAGCGACTGCCTCCTAATTAATTTTGAGCTGCAAAATTTTCTTTATTCCACCTCCAGTGGCTACCACCTTTCTATTAACGGCCGCAGTCAAAGTTTTTTTTCGAGGCAAAATATTTTGGAGGCCGACACCAATAGAGAGGCGGAAGCCAATGGTGGCCGCCTCCAGAAGACATTTTGGAGGCAAAACCATATGGAGGGCGCTTCCAATAGCTTCTCTCTTCTAGCTGGCTGCGGCTGCCAAATTGGAGGCGAAATATTTGCCTCCCGCTGGCAAATGTAATGTAAAATAATTGCACATTAGTCTTTAAGTTAACAAGCAATTAAATTATTAACTGAGAACAAATGCTAAATATTTGACATCAAAGTTTTGTTTTATATGATTTAATGACTATTTAAAAAATTAAAAAAAAAATTGTAATTTTATCAGAATGGTTGTTTTTCTAGGACTATTGAATAAATTTTTAACTTTTAAACGTTTTAAACCTTTAATTGCTTAAAACTTTAAAAGGTGTAACAGTAAGTCTATATTTTTAAACATTTTAAAAGTATAGAGTAAAATTTAAATAATATTTATAAAAGTATATATATTTAAAGTTTTTAAATTTTATTTTATTTTTTGACATTTTGCTGCTAAAAATTGAATATTTACGCCTTAAAAACACAAACACCTTAAAAACTACAAAATTATATTTGATGTTTTCCACAAGCACTGTTTTAGCGCAAAATATTCATTGTTTTAAGACTTTATGTAAATACTCTCTTAAAAAAAATACAAGTTAGATTATTTTTATTTTTAGAAACTGTGATATAATTAAATTTAAAAAAATTAAACTTAAACTAAAAAACCACACTTTTTGGCATGGGTAAGCACTTTTTTGAAGATAAGTTTCAATTCCTTGGTTTATAGATATCAACATTGTTGCTTCAAATCAAAACAAAAAAACTTTTTGCATTATTCTTGTTAGGTTGAAAAAATGAACCTTTTACTAACAGTAGAGATACTTGTAGATTTTAAGGGGTACTAAAGTTAACACAAACATCTAAATTTCTTTTCAGAATTAGTAAGTCACATTTCAAAACAACACAAAACATTTCCCTAATCAATGTTATTGCTTTCCTTGTCATTTAAATTGCCTTTATATTCAGCATTTGTTTTGGTTGATGTTCCTAGATTAATCATTATTGACTTCATTCCATTAATTCTACAAGATACTTTGCTGCATACTGATTTTTTAATGTCATTGCAAAGGCATTTTAATTTACATTTATAAAATTGTTCTTTTTCTTTATCTTTTTCTTGCTTCTTCTCTTTTTTTTTATTTTTTCCAATTTCAATCAACTCAACCTGTTTAATGATGTTTTGGGCTTCCATAGAACCATGTATATTTGCGACACATATATTTTTTGTTTTGTTTATGTCTTTTGGCTTTACCTTGTTTACTGTAAGCAAACCTGGTATATCATCTAGATTTAAACTTTTATCATAACTTTCTTTCATAGTCATTTGTGACTGCTCGAACATATCTTTTCAATAGTTTGCTGATCCATATTGATAATGTGTTTTTGCTAATTTGGACAATGAATTTGGACAAACTGGAGTTAACAAGACATTAGCTGATGAACATGTACAAATCTTCTTTGATGTTCTTGAAACAAAACTGGCTAAACAAGACTTGATCCTGATTTTGAGTCTATTTGCAGCCTGTTGAAATTTGTCATGATGCATATTATTTACATTGAAACCTTCTTTAAATATCCCAACTCTCTTTTAAGCATTAATTTTGGTATCCTTTGAAGCCTATTTGTCCCACATTGCTCCTAAAATTGTTATGAAACCTTCTCGGTTTATTGTTTGGAATGTTGTAAAAATTTCATCTCTTTTTTTGTCATATTCACAATGGATGTTCTGATTAGGACTTTGATCTAATAGTTACCCCAGTTTTATCAGGAGGACTTATAAGCACGTTAATTTTCTTTTCATGGAGGAAATGTAAAACATTGTAGTCAAATCTTAAATTGTGCCCATCTGCTAGCATTTCAACAGGTCGCTGAATGTTCTCTTTGAACAAATATATATATCAAACTTTTTGTATAAGTCCAATAAAAAATGATTATCTTTGCTTCCTTTTTCAATAAATAAGATAATTAAATTTTTTATATTTTTGGGGCCATGACTAGTAATACCATTACCAGCAAAGATAACTTGTGAAACAACAATTTCATCTGAAATGTTAAGATATATATAATTAAAAAATAAAATGTAATAACAACATTGCTTTTGGTTAAACTTATAGCTGTCCACCATGGTGAAAAAAACATTGTTCATTAACACTAATATAGTTAACTAACACTTCCACAGTGATAAAAACATGTAGATTATTTTTTTAAATAAATGCAAATTACCGCATTGGTATTATTATTTACACAAATAATTTTAGTTATTATTACCTGCCAAGGAAACAACTGAACATATTGTTATTGATTCACGGTTCTCCCTGATCATTTTTTTTTTTGCAAGGTTTTCCATGTGCAACATATGCAAGACCGGAATTCGTTCCATTAACCCCATAATTTATGAATTGGGGTGTTTCGTCAAAATTAAAAATTCTTCTTGTTTCAATATCACCCTTTCATGCATCAGGTTCAAGTTTTAAAAATATCACATTTAATAAGTTCTTCAGCCAATGAATCTAAAAGATAGATTCAAGATGTTTTAGATAGTAGGGTAGAGTGGAGCTAGTCTAAAGTTTATTAGGCTGCTCAACATACCCCAGCTGTGTAAATTGAGCAATTGTGTGAGGTAAGTTGAGCAATAAAAATGAATGCATTTCTGTGACAACTATTAACTCTGTTATAAAACCAAAACATAGCTTCCCTATTATTTAAATATATACTTTCAATTTTAACAAATTATTTAAGATATGAATATAAAAGCTAATAATATACATATTATATATATATATATATATATATATATATATATATATATATATATATATATATATATATATATATATAAATTATTTATATATAGTATAAATAATCAAAATATAAATGAAATATCATATTTTATATGTTTTGTTTATATATACTTTAAATTGATAATGTGTTTTTTAAATATGCTCCTTATCATAATATTATTATTATAATAAACATAGTAAACAAGATTAATTTAAAAAATTTATTCAAGAACTTTTCAACTTAAAGATTTTATTGACCAAGTATTATTAAAGTAAAAATATTTTAAAAGTATTACAAAATCAAATAATACCTTAATGTGATTCTGCTATCCTTCTTGTACAGTTGAATGCCCTGTTAAATGGTACATTTCCTTGTCTTTTTAGACCTAAGTCGTGGTGTTCTGCTTCCTATCTCTGCCAAAATGACTGACCAAGTCTATAATATATTTTAAAAGTTGTGTTGAAAATACGGTTGTATAGGAATTATACGGTTATATAGTAACAGTGTTAAAAACAAATAACTAATGTTCAACATTTTATAAATAATTTTTTTTCATTATAATTTACTTTATAACAAAACAATAACACTCTACTTACTTTCCTGTTTTTACAACATGTTTTGCATAATTAGAAAGTTTGACAAATTTGCGACCACCTTGACTCTTGGTGTTGCAGTAGTCTTATTGATTAATAAAAATAATTATTGATGTTTTTTAAAACATCAATAATTAGATTGGTGACTTGCTTTCTTCATACCCCTTGGTAACACCTAATTTTATTTTTAATAAATTATACAATAGAGATAAAAGAAAACATACCAGTTTGCAAAAGCAGCATAGCCTCTTTTGTTGTGCTCCTTGTAACAAGACACAGTTTGTTTGATCTGAAGTTTTTATTTATTTATTTTTTTCTCTGGACTTTTGCCTCTGCTTTTGAATTTGGTTTTCCAACAACAAAAGGTACTTTTTCCACTTTTATAGTAAATTTTAGTTTCACCATTGCAAATTTACTTATAATACTTTTATCTACAAAATATATATGGTATAAAACAATTGTGTGCATAAAAATACATTAATAATACTTCTGCTAAATAAAAGTATATTTTCTGGTGCCTTATATGTTAAATTAACAAAAAAAAATTATTTAATAAAGGTCTCTCTAAATACATCATATTAGAACTCACCATAGAAGTTGTAGTTTATAAGGGTTTATTTTGTAGTTTTTAAGGGTTTTTTAGGGTTGTTCATGTCTTTTCGTTTATAATAAGTTTACAATAATGCGTGTACAAATACTATGACCAAAAAACAAAGTTTTTACGAAATTTTGAGTGAATCTGATGAACGACTCTAAAATTATTAGCCAAAAACCTCCTTGTGGTTTTTAAGGGGTAACAAAAAAAAAACTTTTTTTCATTAAATTACAAAACTTTACTAATAACCATAAATCGAAAAATAGGGCTAGTGAAGAAAATCATATTAATATGTTTTTAAGTACAGAAAGTTTCACTTTAGAAGTTTCCTATATTCAGTTATAGAGTTCTATTTTTATTTTTGTAGTTTTTCATTTAAACCTTTTTTTGTCACTTGGTTTTTTTTAAACTGGATTGTTTAAAATTAAAAATAAAAGTAAAAAGTTTTTTAGTTTTAAGTATAAAAGAAAATGACAGCTGATTTATTTATTTTCTATTAAAAGACCTTTAGCGGACGTCACGTGATTGTCCATAGTACAAATTTGGACCCAAGTCTTAAACCGAGTTTGGATATGAAGCATCAACCAATCAAACTTCCTGAACTCATGGTAAAAATTTATATATATATATATATATATATATATATATATATATATATATATATATATATATATATATATATATATATATATATATATATATATATAATTTGAATATAATTTATTTTGTTTTTCTTAGCTCAGTATTTAACAAGCTTTTTTTTTTTACTATAGAATTAATGTGAAACCTATCAATAAAAGTCAATAGATATCATTATATGTCAATATCATCAAGTTTTTATATTACTGTAAATAAAATTGAAACTGCGATATATTTTTTTATTGCTAATTTATTTTTAAATTGTTAGAAGACCATTTGTATTAAAAAAAACAATGAAAATAAAATTGGTAAATATAATAAACTAAAGTATTTTTTTTTCCATGTACGTTTAAAAAAATGCTTAAGTATGGTTTTACTCAAATTCATTGAGAATATTCTTTTAAAGAAACATAGGAGGGGTAAAAATTTCTCAAAAAACACAAAAAAACACAAATCTGCACCCTATATCACCGAAATTTTTGAAACTTGGCACAAATGTTTATAGACATATGTTAGGAAAGATTGTAATTTTTTTTCATAAAATTAATTACCGTTTATAATTTACAGCAATTTGAAGTTTTCTTTATTTTGACTAAAAACTGAGGGGGAAAAAGTGCCGAAAATCATTCCGTTTACTTTCACCTTAAAACAGTGCCGGATCAAGAGAGGGTTGTAGCCCCGGGCCCCGAAAATTTAGGGGCCCCCAAAAAATTTAGAGGACTCTTTTTTTTTTTTTTTTTTTACAAGTCATTTTTAGGCTCTGGCCCATAAAAAGGCCTCCAAAAACAAAAATAGCCCCAGGCCCCAAGAAGTCTTAATCCGCCACTGCCTTAATATGGAGCTTGTAGTGATGCCACAATTCTGAAACTTTGTACCAAAAGAGTTTAAATTCTGTTAAATCCGAAAAATATAGTTTTTTATATGTCTAAACAAGGGAATGTAGCTTATGTTAAGATCCATAAAATACACTTTATAACGCCGAGAAAAAAGAGCATTGACAATTATAGCTATAAAAAAAAATTAATTTCGGTTTTCTTAAAAATAAGATCAATACCTACTTTTCGAACCAATTTTGTTTTGGCCTTATAATTACTTGAGGAATTATTGATGTTTGATATAGACACAAAATTTTTTAATATTTTTTAAATTAGACACTTAATATAACCCCACCTTTTACCAATCAATCAAATTAGAAACTAAAAATTTAGTGACTTTATTATCTTTTTCATTTTCATATGATATTTACAACAAAAACAGTTGTTAAAATCTAACATCTACAGTTGTTAGATTCTTTCTTGAAACTCTCAAGAACACAGCTTCAATTATTATTATTATTAAAATTTAAATGTATATATATACTTTGTTTTTTTAAATACTAATCTTTAGTGATTTTATATATGCCTTACATTCGCATTATTTACAAGTTGGTTCACAAAACATAATATTTAAAAAAAGAATAGATAAGACATAATAGACTCATAAATATAAAAATCTCTACTTCCTTAGGAAAATAATTTTTTTTAAGTCCTCTTTGGCTAAATAGTAGCAAAGTCCTGTTTTTGTTATCGGTACCTCAACTTTGCAAATAATGTGGACATTAGGAATCCAGCATTGCTTTCCTTTGGTGGCCATTTAAACGACCGTGCAGGACCATTAGGACACATAAATTTTACAAGCACATCTTTTTCTTCCTAATTAATATCTTCAATGACTCCTATTTACCACTTTTGCTCATAGTAAACACAGGCATAATCACCTGGTACTAGGTTAACAGTTGTCATGGATGTTTCATGACTTGAATTAAAGCAAATTCTGGATATTTCATGACTTGAATTAAAGCAAATTCTTCATCAGTCATGAATTAAAGCAAACTCTTTATCAACACTGCATAGCTTAGTGCCTACCTAAACAAAATAGTAACATATGCAGTTATTCCGTTTTACTTATCAAACATGTTTTATTAAATGCATAGATAGCAAATGCAAGCAGTTTCAAATTTTGATGAATAGAACAGACGCATACAGAATATGTTCCTGAGGCACCAACAGTAACCCAATGCAAATAGAGTAAAATGTTTAAAAAAAAAAGTTTTATTTAACAATAGTTGCAGAACAATTAGGAAAAAATGTTATACATCTAGTGAATCGTCTTTTACGCGCCCACCACCACCATTCGATCTGTTGAGTGCGTATTTTAATAAAGTCATTATTCCTTTTCTTATTTCGGCAACTGTAGTAGTCGCTTTAATTGACATGTTGCTCTCTATAAAAAAAGGTATTGTCTGAGTAATTTGCATAAAATACATATAAAAATAAATATAAAACAGCATCAAAGCAACGAACTCTGATTTTAAAAATATATAGTTTTACGCTTGGCATACCAGTAACAACCTTACAAATGTTTGTTCCTTCAAACTTTTCTTTATTCTTACCGCTAGCTATATTAAATTTTGATTATAAACCATTGGTCAACAACCTGTATTAAACATTGAAACAAAAAATGATACATTATATACGCATATGTATGTATATAAATGTATGTATTATACATACATATACACTTATGTTTATTTATGTGCATATATATGTATGTATATATATAGAGTGAAAAAAAGGTTGAGTATGCGTTACAAAAAAACTTTTGTACTTTAAGGTTGTTCTTTAACTTAAGGAAATACAAAAAAAAATCAAAAAAAATTCTTATCAGACATAAATAAATAAAAAAGATTTATTTTATGTCTGATTAGAATTCGTCTAACTTTTAGAAATACTAAGCTAAACATATTTTTATCACAAGTTATAATAACTAGATTCAAAAGATTTTTTATACAAAACCTTTTACTAACCTTTGCATCACATTTTTTGTAATTGTCTTACCTCTTATTTTTGAAACTTTGTTAACCTAAAGGTTTAAGAAAATAATTACATCACATTTTTTTTATAGTACATTTACAAAAAGTTACAAATAGATTAACTTGAGCAAATACATAATCAATAAAAAAACATTTAAAAAGTGAAAAAAGTAATGGTTTAAAAATGCAAAAAGTAATAGTTTAAAAAAACCTACCTATTCAGACATTACCCGTTTAAACTGTTATCATAATCCCTAAAGGGTTAAGAAAATAATTACATTTTATTATTTTTATAGTACATTTATAATAAGTTATAAGTAGATTAACTTAAGCAAATACATAATCCCAAAAAAACAATATAAAAGCTCCAAAAAGTCATGGTTTGAAATAACCTACCTTCAGATCTCACCCGAAAATCATTTAAACTGTTATCATAATCACTAAATGACTGCTGCAAATTCATCCATCAAATTTCAGGACTATTTGTCATGATATTATTTTAACTACTGGAAAGAGCTTTGCTAACATCTTTTTTATTTCTACCAATGCATATGTAACTTTCTTCTGAATTTCTATTTTATATTCTAAAATAACAAAGATATTACAAAAACACAAAAGAACCAAACATTAAATTCTAAAAGCATGGAAACACAAAAACAAAACATACTGTATCAAAATATCTATTTATTAAATAAACAAAACTATTGGATTTTCAAAAAATATATTTTTTCTAATGTCTTGAAAATAATTACTTGCTTTTTTTACTAATTAATAAAATGAATGCATTCCAAAATAAATACCAAATATTTCACATACCTTACTCAGTAACGGGAGACTTTCCATTCGATGAGGAATCCTTTTTAGTAACTTTTCTTATAAGGGAAATTAATGCAGGTGTCTCTGGCAAAACAACTTTTTTCTTTTCTGTGGAAAAACACATGAGCCATCTTGGCTTTGCACTACATTAAAATCCTCTCTTTCTTCAGGAAAATCTTGCTATTGCTGATCTAAATATCTTTAAGCTAAAAAAGTAAATCAATCAATGTAAAAAAATAATCAATACTAGAATACTAGAAATAAAATAGCTTTTACTAAATGCTATTATGAAAAAAATGTCATAACAATGAAATAAAATGTCATAACAAACAAATAAAAGTCAATAATAAAAAAATAATTTTAAAACACTTATAAAATAAATAAAATATATTAATTAACAACAAATAAAATGTGTAAACTACTGAAGCATTGAAAAAAACATTGAGAACCATTTCTTCCTAAAACAACTTGCAGACAGACAATTAATACCTTGAGCCACAGCATGCGGAGTATGCATAAAAGTTTTTTTTTTTTCGATTTTTGAATTAAAGAAGTAGGTACTTGCTTACTATTCTGTTGGTTATTTTTGGTTGGATTATGTTTTCTCTTGCATAAGAATAGTAGTGGTTTCTATAATGAATAATATCAAAATAAAACTAGTAATACTTGAATAAATTTTTAACTTAAGTTTAAATCTTTTAAAACAGTTCTATCTGAGTATCACTAGTAGTGGCAAATTCAAAAGTATCACATAACTCATGATCTAAGAATAATCATTCAATTTAAAACTATGTTTTCAATATATTATATAATAAAAAATATATCTTAAACACTAAAAACAACATATACAGAAATAGAGCATTTTAAAGAAGAAAGGAAAAAAAGTAATGACTTAATGTTTATAAACAAAATTATATTATCTCCACAACATTTAATTTTGAGCAGCTTAAATCTTTATTAGTTAGACTGCAGTTCATGCATTTCCTTGAAACAATTTATTACATTTAAATCAATCGTATTTTCTCTCTATTTTCTATCCAAACAGCTCGAATATACATTTTGCCTGCCCTACTATACTTTATAAACTGGAAAAGTTTATTTTTAAAAACAACACTTTTTATTCTCATTCATAAAATATTTGTTAGTGTGAATTAACTGACAGAAAATTACAACTTTAACTTATAGATTATATAGCTGCATAGTAAAAATTATATTGAAATTAAAGGGTTAAAAGGAAATTAAAATGTTTTACCTATGGGCCTGCGAAAAATTTGAAATTTTAAATTGAATCAAATCAAAAATGATTCAAGTTACGATTCAAAAATTTTCAAAAATTGAATACTTGCTTATTTTGTTTTTGTTATGGGTATTTTAGATATTCTGGGCTTTGGCGCTATCAAAATAACGTTACTTATCCTTAAATAACTTTTTAATCAGTCATTAAAAAAGGGTAACCAGGACAAAAATCATCAATTAAGAGATTAAACAATTGTTTTATTTATTTTATTCTGAAATATATATTAAATAAAAAATGCTTAAATTTAGACTTCATAATGTTAAAATGAATTGCGAATCAAGACCTTCTTTGATTTGCGATTCAATTCGAAACAAAAACTGCAAATTCACAGGGCCCTAGTTTTACCATAAATCTTTAAAAAGCCTTTAAAAGCACTATTTTCTATATAATAACAAAATTTATAACAATTATTTTTAAAAATAATTTGATATAAAATTAAGAAAATTTTTTGATAACTCTTTTTTAAAAAATCATAACAAGCTTTATTTAAGAATTAAACTTAAGGATTAAATGAAAACAAACTTAAATTTATTTACCAACACATGATATCAAGTTTTTTGTGCTACCAAACAATATCATGGACTAAAGGTGCAAGCACAAATCCATTTTTATACAACATGCATATAACTTTACATGAAAAATCTGTTTTATTTAATATACATTTGTCAGACAGATATTTTTTTTTAATATGAACAATATTCAAACTTTTTGAATCACATGGTTGGTGAAAAGCGATAAATCTGCAGTTAAGCAGCCTAAAATAATTTTATTTTTTCGCTTTTTGCGATCTCGCGTGGAGACATGCTTAAAATAAATTTTGATGGTTTAAAAAACCTCTGATGACAAGAGCGTAACAAGCAAAAAAATTTCCTAAATTATCCTAAACAACAGAAGACACTATTATACTATCCTATTTTTAATTCTGGGTTCTTGGTTTTAAAGGCAACAAACAATTCCTTTAAATTACATAAGAGCAAACGTTTTTGCATGTGGACATTTTTCTTTATGCTTACATAGTCCTTTTTACCAGGCATTATACGGCTATGTTAATTGTCTTCGTAAAAGGTCTTGACCAGTTGAACTGTTACATCAGGAAGAGCTTTTCCTAATTTAGGATTAGGCATGGTTATAATACCATTTTCTAATGTTAACTTACGTGCAGTTCGAGCTACATAGTTTGTTACATACAATGTTTCAGATACCTTTTTTATTGACCAGTCTGTTGGAGCAAGTGTCGCAAGTTGTACTTTTTTTGATGTTGATGTAGACTTTTGTTAGTTAACAATACCATCATGTTATCAAACAAGTTTGCTTTTTCCATAAACTTATTATTAAAACTTGACTGTTATTCAAAACTTTCTTCTTATATATTAAGGGAAATGGCTACCTTTTTTTAATGGAGGTTGTTAATGCTGTCAATTTTTGTTTACCTTCTCTGATTTTACCTGACTTGTGCAATCCTTTGACCTTATTTGGAGATACTCCGGCAGATGCAAAGTGTGTATCTACACTTTCTTTTTTATTTTGAATGGATCTTTTATTAACAATATCAAAATCTTCATCATTTTTATTTTCAATTATACTTTTTGATAAACATGTCATAACTTTACTTCGACAGGTTGGACACAGTTTTTTTCCAGGTATAAGATTTAAACCTATGGTTTCTGCTTTTAACACAGTATGCATTGTAATCACACGTAGAGATGCTTAAAAAGAAAGTAATTACATTACTTAAATAACATTAATTATATATATTATGTAATTATATTACTATACAATTTGTTATATTAATAACTATGAAACATTGAGCAAATCTTATTACCAAAAAAACTTATATGACTTATTAATAATGATATTACCTAATGAAACATAAATATATAAATTTTCACCTCTACACACCTTTTGGTGACTCAGAAATGGATTACAGCAACTTTTTTGATTACCCTCATATCTTACAACTAACATATCATGATGGTGTGTGCATATATTAGTAATTTGTTCTTGTTTCAGATTTGTTCGTTTTTCAAGTAGCTTACGATCATTGCTGTCAATATCTTCAATCAGATTTCTTTCTTGAGTATATGATTGTTTATAACAAGCTCCATAATTATTTACAAAGCAGCAATTAATTTTGTTATCCATATAAAAATATAATGATGAATCTCTGTCTAAACACTTAATACAAGAAATCTTAAATAATCTTAATGTCCCTAACAAGAAAAATACACTTGAACACAAACAATATCATATCAATATGTATTTATAAAGAACATATTGCTTGAACGAGTAGCTATTAGTTTAACAGACATCTTTTAAATGCCTAATTATCTACTAATTATTGGAAATTCTCCATTAACTACTTACAAAAAATTGTGTAAAAGTAAATGATAACTAAATATAATTTTATTTAGTTATGTAACTTAACATGGTAATGTTAATTAGACATTATTATATCATTTTATTACTTTTTTTATTGATGATAATAAATGTTTTATTACAACAAAAGTTACATAATATTGTTAAATTTAATGACATGATATTATGTAATGAAAATGACATTATTATTATGTAAAGAAAGTAAAAAGAAACAAATTTATAAAATGTTCAACTATGTTTTGTAATAAATTTGTAAATTTTTTACAAAGCTATTACAAAACAAAAATAATTGTATTTTTATTCAAAATATATTTGCAAATTTTTTTTTTTGCAAAATATCTTTAGAAAAATTGAAAAACTAAAACATCAATAACTCCTTGATAAAACATAAGGCCAAATAAAAATTGGTTCGCAAAGTAGACATATGTTTAATATTTAAAATAACGAAAACCAAAACTTTTTCTCATCAATCAGATTTTTTCTAGAACTATAGTTGTCAATGGCCTTTTTTATTGTCATTAACAAGTGCATTTTGTGGATCTGAAAATAAACTATATTTTATTGTTTTAAGAGATATAAGTTTATGATTTTTAGATTTAGCAGGTTTTAAACTCCTTTGGTACCAAGTTTTAGCTTCGCAACATTACTACAAGTTTGTTAAAAGGGTAATGGTAAATTGACATATTTCTGGCTTTGTCCCCCTCTTTTTTCAGTCAAAAAATAACTAACTTCAAGTTGCTGTAAATCTTAAAGGGTTGAGAATTTTTTGAAAAAATTTTACAGTCATTCCTAACTTATATCTTTAAACATTTGTGCCAAATTTCAGCGAATTTGGTGATGCAGGGTGCAACCCCTTGTTGTTTGAAAAATTTTTACCCGGAGGTAAAACTTTTGTTAGAAAATAAAATCCCACAACCAATAATTTTGTTAAAAAAGTTATCGTAAAGTAGGGCGACTTAGATCATTTTTGCACCTTAACACCTTGTGCATGAAAAATACAAAAAAAATTTTCTTAAACACTGAGCACAATTAAAATTTATCAATGAATATAACTTTAGTTAAGAATAGTACAAAAATTTTTGTTATCAACTTGTTGCTCTCACATACGTTTAGGGCAGTTGTGGTATAAATTTTAGGGCTTATTTGTTTCTAGACTCTAACAATCTGAACTTATTGCAAAAATAGCTGGATCAGCTTTTGCATATATATGTATGTATATATATATATATATATATATATATATATATATATATATATATATATATATATATATATATATATATATATATATATATATATATATATATATATATATATATATATATATATATATATATATATATATATATATATATATATATATATATATATATATATATATATGTATATATATATATGTATATATATATATATATATATATATATATATATAAACAGTTTTTTAAAAAATGTATTCTAAAAAATAGAGTGCTCAATGTTCTTAAAAGAACAGAGCAATTATAAATTAGTAGAAAATCACTTAATAAAATTTTTTTTCATTTTACACTGTGTTTCATCAACAAAGACTCATCAGAAATCAAGTTTTCTGATGAGTCTTTGTTGATGAAACACAGTGTAAAATGAAAAAAAAATTTGTTAAGTGATTTTCTACTAATATTTATATATATATATATATATATATATATATATATATATATATATATATATATATATATATATATATATATATATATATATATATATATATATATATATATATATATATATATATATAGAAAGAAAAAAATAATTTTAACAAATGATTATATTATATATAAATTAAAAGCAAATAAGAAATTAAGATTATTAAAAATAAAACAAAAGATTATTAATTCTAAAAGAATAAACAAAAAACAAAATCTAAATATAAAATTAAAAAAGAAAAGAATTTAGCTATAATACAAAAATGGTAAATCTAATTAAAAAAATACAATATAATAATATATTTTAAATTTTATAAATTTTGTGTATTGTTTATATTTATTGCTATCTTTATTATTACATAATCTTTGTCTATTTTTGTTTCAGAACTATAATTACTTCTGTATATTACTATATAGAAGTAATTAAAGTCTGTATTATAGTTTATAGTCTATAATTATAGTCTGTATTATTAGATAAATAAATAAAAGCATAAAAACTAAAAAACAATTTATACAATGAAAAAAAAAAAATTAGCTTTAAATAAGTATGTGTACGAAGATATTAGTTACTCTTTATTGAAAACTTTGGCAAAAACTGGTTGATTGTGGTTTTAAATCATCTATTAACCCTAACTAGACACTCTTTATTTATTTATTTTATTTATCCACTATTTAAACAACTCTGCGCAATACCACGTTCTTTACAATAAGCTAGAGTTTTTTTTTTCTTCTAAGTTTTTCACTATAAATTAGCATATTTTAATTATCTTGAGATATTGTTTTAGCACCATTAGGTTTGGACCTAATGAGTGGAATATTGGCTTTTAAGATCTTATAATATTCTCCAAACTCACTTTTTACATCATCAAGATGATATAAATATATTAAGTATTTTGGATTTTTTCGGTTGCATTCTGATATTATATAATAAACATCTTCAGAAAATCCAGCAGCAAAAAAAATACAACGATAGAAGTTTACTCGAGAAAGAGTATGCACTGAATTCTCCCAACACTCCTTTGATGCTTTAGGTACATTTATTGCAGAAAATATCTTTTCCCGATTGAGAGACTCAAGAGATTTTTTTAAAGTTTTAAAAGAGAAAGGTTCTTTATGACAACTAGATTTTATTGCCACAATTCCTGGTCTCTTAGGTTTATCAGTGTGGTACCAAATGTCAGGTCCAGCAGCAGATGTAGGAAGCAATATAAAATTCTTGTCTCTAAAAGTAACTTTTAATAAAAACTCTGTCACTTTCTTAGTATTATCATAAAACAACTTGTGGGTTGTTCCAGGAGTATAAGCATTTGTTGGATATGGTATCTGTGATTTCAATACAACGCAAGCAAAAGCTCTTTCAGTCAAATAATGCTTCAATAATTTGTCATGAAATGTAAGAGTATCATTAAAGCCTTTCTTTTTAGCAAGCTCATCCATCATAATGCTTTTTTTTTTTTGAATAAACTTGATTTAGATCTTCAATAAACATTTAATCATTAAAAATTAAACAATCAAAAGTACAATAACTTTTCGTTACTCCTAATCTAATTATTCTCCACAAATTATATTTTTCATTATCTTCATATACTTGGTATGTACCTCCACATAAACGTAGAACTGTATACAGAAAATTAATCAGCCCCATTGTCAAGGGGGCTGATTAATTTTCAAGGGCCTTGATACATAGTTATTTTTACAGTATTTTTTCCTATTAAGATTTTAAACAGCAAACAAAGCTGGTAAAAAACATTTATCATAATTAATTTTAAATGCTCCTGAAAGCCACCTGTTTTCATCTAAATCAATTGGGGCCCTAAATAAATGATTATAGTATCATTTAAAGAAATTTCAATATCGAAAAACTCCACTAGTAAATTAAAAACTTGCTCTTTTGTAAAATCATGCAGGCAAACAAATTTCTCATACATACCTTGTGAAAAAACAGACTTAATTTTCAACAAAAATTTCCCAAATACTATACTCAATTATAATTCAAACAAAAATTTCCCATATACTATACTCAGCAGAGCACATAACAAACCCAAAAGGATTTTGATTACTCATACTAATCAACATTATATATTGTAACTGGTAAAATAAATCAGTGCAGTAATTTTTATGAGGATATGGCTTATTATCGAACTGTTCTTGGTACCAAAACTCTAAATTTTCTTTTTCTAAAAATTGCATAGCAGTATTTCGATGAGTACAATAGCCACTGCATAAATCAATGTCATGAAACAAGTTACTTGTTTCTCCATATCGCTAAATAGTAACTCTTCTGTAAATACATTTTGCTGATTGTTTTAAAAAAAACTATTACCCCAATTTTTAGTCCAGTCAATTAAATCTTTTTTATTAAATAGCAACATCAATAAAAAATAAAAACGATCAATAAAATTGTTTTTATCTATAACTTCATTTTTAACACATGCGTTAAACAATGCTATCCCGGTGGGAAATCGGCTAGCCAATAGACGATTTCGGAGTTAGCGTAGCCATCTTGGAAAAATATTCTTGGGGGTGCAAGTTGAACTTTGAACTTTCCGTTTTTATGCAAACTTTCATATAAAAGTATGAAAATTTTCATAATTTAAGTTCAAAATAACTCATAGTTTATTAGTTAATTCTTGGTTTAAAAATATTAGCGAAAAATGGTAAACTTGTTGCAAGAGCTTTTGCTGTTATGGAACTTATTCTTGAAATTATATCTTCACAATTTAAAAACAAAAGGAAAGGTGATATTACACCTTTTTTATGGTTTTAAATTTTGTATTTAGTATTTTAAATGGTGCAAACTATACCGTATGAAAACTTTAAATCAAGAATTCACTTTAGTACATACATTTTATTACAGTGAACTGTTTGATCTCATTATAAAATATTAGTTATTAGTTTAAAACTTGTTAATTAAATTGTATGTATTATAATGCCAAGTCAAAGCAGATCTTTAGTTAGTGTCTTTATTAATGACAAAAGATACCCTGACGAAATTATAAAACAGCAATGTTGAAGAAAATTTAATAATATACTTTTATTGCTTTTTTTTAAATAAAAGCATTTAGTAAATAATATCTAGTATGAAATATAATGCCAATTCATAGCAGATGTGTAGTTGGTGTCTGTAATAATTACAAAAGATACCCTGACAAAATTATAAAACATAGCAATGTTGAGGGATATTTAGTAATGCAAAGTTACCAACATGTAAAGAAAGAACAAATGCATGATACATTATGGTAGCACTAGTACAAAAGATTTTGTTGTTCCTAAAAACTTTTTTGTTTGTTTAAATCACTTCCTTGAAGAAAAACCTACAAAAGATAATCCTGATCCAACTTTGTTTTTAAAAATCTCTACTAACACCATAGCAAC